ATGGCCATTCCAGATTTCTTTAAGAGGACTACTCAACTTTTTAGTTATCCAAGAGGCGCGGTTATGCCGCAGTTATGTACCTCCTCTGTAATTAAGAAATCGGGTTCACAATTTAACATATTTTCTTTGTTATTTTATTAGTATGCTCGGAGTACTTTTGCGAAAAAGGAAAGAAGGACCCTTTGCTGAACTGGTCAGCATCGATCGTGTCTTTTGTGCTTGGCCATTCCAGATTTCTTTGGGAGGCCTATAGTTGTTAGACGGAGCCTTTTTTACTTGATGGCGAAAACCTCTGTCGAAAATCTAAACTCAAATTTTTCTGACGAAAGTCGAAACCCTCAAATCCTTATGACGAAAGTTGAAACCCCAAGCTTAAAAAAAAAAAAAAAAAAGAATATTACTAAAAATCTATGTTATTAATGAAGCTCTGGTGCTTCCGCTAAAAAATTGATGAAAATCTATGTTTTCAGAAAGCTAAGCTATTAATAAAAATAAATCCTGTAAATTTTTATATTACGCCACTTTAGAAAATTGATAGTCAATAATATATTATAATTCATGATTCTTATTAACTTCACTTTTTATTGGGATCTGATCAATTCATTGACGCCATATTTCACTGACAATTATTCAAAGTATCTTTTCCAATCATTCATTGCATCTTTCTAAATTTTTCACCGCACTTAAGACAGAATTTTATAAATAATGATGCACCTAACCTGGAGATGTTGATTATTATTGTCAAAAATAAGTACGTATTACATATTTAATAGCCAAAAAAATTTTTAGACTTTGGAGTAGTTTACAAATGTGCGGCAATGTATTGCAAAATATTTATTTCTAATTTTCTCATTTTTAAAAATATCTATAAATTTAAAAATGATTTAAATTTTAATAATTATTATAAAAACTGGTACTATTTATAATAATCAAGCACAAAAAAATTGAATATCATCATTAATATCAATATCATATTCTTCATTTAAGTCTAATTCGTATTTTTTTTCTAGTCTTATTAATCTCTCTGAATCAAGCTCTACTGATTTTTCGTTCCATGCTCTTGTTAATAACGGTTCGTCCAAAAAACATATATATCTTATTTTAAATTTATCTTTAAATTTGAAATCAAAATTATTCATTTCAGAACTTAATGATGAATCTTCTAAGCATGCATAATTATAAATAAAAGCGTTCTGAATTTGGAGAACACTATGTTTACTATTCTTTTCTGCATTAGAAAGTTCAACACTTTTTAAATTTATAATAAAATAGTAATTAATAACTATTGAAAATTCAGTATAATAATATAGAAGCGATTGCACATACCCAATAAATGATCCCATAATTATAACTTCCAGTATGATTACAATAAGAAATCCAAAAATAATAATCAGAGGCCAAAAATTCCAAAAATTAAATTGTGTCGAGTCCCAATAAAAAGTGGCCAGTGCATGTCCCTAAAAAATGTACGTGCGTAATACTTGGTAAATATTTTAATTATGTAAATCTAAAAAAAAATTAGAAAACTAAAAGTTTAAGATACCATTCCAATAATGCTTAAGGCAAAAACAATTAAAAATGACTTAATCGAAATCATTACATGATTTATCATATAAAGGCATTTGGCAACCCCTAAATTATTAGCATATATTATTTTAGTCAAAAAAAAAAAGTATTGTTTAATCATTACTGTACTTAAAAGGTACCTGCAAAAATACGTAGTAACAAAATCTAACGATAATAACAGAGTAATTAGGATATGTATCTAAATCAGAAAAAAATAAATAAACCTACCAATTCATACCAAAGTAAAAGAATGCTTATAAAAATAACGAGGATGAATGTTTGAGTACTTGTGGCATTTTTAAAACCGTCTACTGTGCTATAATCATTAATTGAAATATAAATCACTATACAAAAAGGTAAGAAAATAGCAAAATTTTCCATCCAATTGAAAAAATCCAACATATATCCTCTTCCGTGCAAAATAAACCGATAAATATTAGTTACAATATAATAGTATGTTAAGTAGTAAAATAATATCATAAGTAGTATCATAAAGATATGAAAATGACCATAGATCTCTAAACGAACAATATATGCCCATGAAAAAATAGAATATGCTAAAAAATAGATAACAAAATTATACAAAATTCTATGCCAATAATCTTTAGAAAAATGCCACATCATGTTTGTGGTTGCCTCCATTGAAGGGTTCTCATAAAATGGATCATCCTTTTTTGCTAGCTTTATTATTCGAATAAAAGGACTATAGTCTTCATTTTTAGTGGATGAAAATTTTCTAGGCAGAAAAAGCTTTGTAATAATCTTTTTAAAATTACTTGGAGTCGATTGATTTTCTTTATTCGTTGTAAAATCAGTCAGAGGTACCATTCTAATATAAGGAATTTCATTATCGCTATAATAAAATTTAAAAATAAATTAAATATGTGCTATTTTCTTTAATCGTTTAAATTAGAACAAATCATTACCTGATATTTATAAGATTTAAATTGGCATCACGAGGAATGAGTTGAGTTATAGGAATAAAAACTTTTAAAAAATCTTCAGAATGTTTCTTAATTTCATAAAACTTAAAACTAGACATATCTAGCCCTTTGTTACCAAAACAAAGCTTATAAAAAAAATCCTGAGTGTACAGTCCTGAATTTTATATTAATCAAATTGAGACAAGTGTCTTGATAAATTGAAATTTGGCAAATGCTAGTAACCAACCATATTTCCTTTCGTATAACTCTGGTATGATTTCAGACACCACGTTCATCCATCCAATATTATCCATCGCATTATTAGAATAATATTCTAGGAAAAGTATAAGCATTGTTGCGTCAATATTCGATCCTGAGTATAGTTAAAAAAAAAAAGTATATGTTATTAATAACATATTCGTGCATGTTATGTTTCATTATTTAGTAACTAACCTATGTCAAGTAAAATCTCTTTTAATGGAACTTGCCACGAGTGGAGAGGACGTTCTTTTTCATTTTTGTTAAGAGTTTTTGAAGAGTATTTCGAAATAGTATTTTTTAATTTGGATTTTTCGGAGTCGTTAGCCGATGCATTTTCTTTATTAAACAAAATGTGGGTAATAAGTGAAAAATCTCTTATATTAATAAATTCTGTCATTAGCTTACAACGAAAATCTATTAGTCTCCAAAGATTCGGGTATAGAGTAATAAATCTTATAATAATGTTTCGTGTTTGTTGTACTATTTCTTTGAATTTTGTAAGCTTGTCGCTAATAGTAATATTAACAGATTTATTTTGACTATCTAAATATTTAAGAGCCTTGATTGCATTCTTTACTATTTGGATAATATCATTTTCATGTTCTATTTTTATCTGGATGGTTTTCCCTTCTAAATTAATTGAGAGGTCAAATTTTTGTATACCATATCTAATTTTGTTAACTTTGAATTTTTCATAAGGTTCTTCTGGTGCATCCGGCTCATAATTGACAATACGAATGAATTCAAGTTTTTTACCACGCCAAACTTGTACACTATTGTTTCCTATAAGAAGTCTCGCTTGTTTTTCTACATCAAGGTAAATAACATATCTTGGAAATTGAAGCCGCGGTTTAACATAAGTATCAAGTATTCTTTCCGCCGGATGAATAGCCCATGGTTCTATCCCTAGATAATATTTGAGATCCGAATCATTTAAATCAGTTAATAATTGCTTATCATTTTCATTGATGCCATAAGCATAAGGAGCATAAGGCAATGAGTCAGTTATGATGCACTCAGAAGGATTTAATTCTTTCCAATCTGAATCAAAACCTGATCTTTTCAAATGTTCATTCAGAACCAACCTATCCCAAACTATTTGATCATCATCAAAAGATGGTCTTATATTAAGAACCTTAAAAGATTCATTTTCTAACATAGGACCAATAACTATCCTTGTCATATGCTTAACCAAGCCTGAAGATGTAGCTTTTTCCAAAGGTATGAATTCAATAAATTCTCTGACAGAATTAAAAATATCCCAAACTGCTGCCGTTCTGTCGCCTTTGAATATCAATAATTTTTCATTATTAAAGACAAATTTCATAAACTCCACATCATATAAACCACTCTTTTTACATGATAAGGATGATAATTCTAGACCATTTTCTATCAAATAGATTTTAATGCCATTTCCAGATACATACGCTAATAGCTTTTCATCACTAGATATTGTAAAAGAGCCAGGATTTTCACGATCCAAAATTGATAAAACAAATTTATATCTCTTAAATATGTTCATTAATTGATTGGTTTTTAAATTGTACAGTTCTATATTTTTGTTTGAATCATTATCTGACGTATCTACTAATAAGTAATGGCTACTTAGGCATCTCAAAAGATATTCATGTATTACATCACTTGGTGGTACTGTCTTGTGATTCATAATGGAGTCACTACAATTATACTTTAAAGCGTTAATTATTCTTTCCGGATAATTTAATACTAAAATTTCATGCTGAAATCGCGTATAAACTGATAAATATGATAAACGGTATTTATATATTCCATTTCCTTTTAACATAATAAGCGTGAATTCATCGTCTTCAGAAAGGAATTGGATTATTCCACCATTTTCTATTTTTATATTGCACTCCTTGATATCAAAGTCGTTTCTGATCATCCATATTTGGGTAAAACCACAACTACTATATTTTTCCGAACCTGGCAGATCTTGCATATCACCTTGACTTATGCAAGATATAGCGATCAATCTAAATCTTTCTTGATGTTCATTTGACACAGCGATAGACCAACTTGAAAAATCATCCGATTCCATCAACACTTTTTGATTTTCAACAAATGTTAATGATTTAGAATGGTCTTCGGAAAGCTCCTTGCTTTTTGTAATTTCATCAATTTTGACTTTATGCATTTGTAATTTGAATAGATCATTATTATCCGCTAAAAACAAAATTCAAAATCATTTAATTAAATTTTATAATTATTAAAATTATATTAATTAACCAGAAACATACTGTCAAAGATAACTATAAATGATTCGTCCTGACTAATTGCTGCATATTTTGCAAATAATGCCGATTCTTTTATTATTTGTTCTCTTTTATCAATAACTGGTATTCTAATGTGATCTTGATCTTCTTCCATAATTCACATACAATTTACGAATCTTTACTATTATCAATTATATGACAGAAAAATAAGAATTGAATGAATCTTTTATTTACACTTTTTCAACATTTTATGCTGGCTTTGCTGGCTAAGTTCATTATTTATAAAAAAAGCCCTTTATGTTAGCTAAATATTTATCCTTTCTTACAATATACGTATATTTCAATTTACACTCCGATTGGTCAAATTAAAACCTTAAAATCACATGAATATTTTAACGACACTGGCTTCCTATTCTGATTGGTCTATTTGTGGTTTTACACAACACGTGAATTTAAAAGACCAGACTTTTCACAATCAATCAGATGCTAATGTGCTTTTAACCAATCTGAATATTAGATTTGAAATACAACTATAATGTGGCTTATCGCTTATTGCCACAAAATTGTAGATGGAGCGGCGACAACCACCTAACCAAAATCGATGATATTTTTATCTTGATTCTATTAATTCAGTTTGATTCATATAATTGAAATAAAAATTTTTTATCGATTTTGGTTAGGTTATCGTCACTCTGCCTTCATTCTAAGATTGAAAAAAAAAGTTACCAGATTTTATTAATGTTGAATATATATTTAATAATTAAATTAAAAGTTACCAAAATTCTCGAGCAATAGATAGAGGGACAAATATGAAATGGAACTTTTATGATGATTGTTGAAAAAAACTTTGTTCAAAGTAGTGTTTTGAGTTGATTAGAATTTTTCCAATCGATTAGTTGTCAACTTAGTTGTTAACTAATAGTCACATGTTTTCAATAAATTTGATTGGTATAATAAATAATCACGTATTTTCTGTATTATTTCAAACTATTCTGATTGGCTGAAAAATTCTACGTCGTAAATTTATTATGTAGATAATCAACCAACGATTAATTGGTTAAATAATTTCCAATCGATTAGTCAACTAGTTGGTTTTTCAACTAACGATTTGGATCACTAGTTCAAAGTCTAAAAAAACTCATTCGTCTATCAATAAAATTAACTTGTTTAAATTTGAGCAAAGTTTCTCGATAATCATCTAATGAAAAATTTATCTAATTGTCAAATTAACATAAGAAAAATTTATCAATTGTGGTTAGATGATCGTATCTTCTTAAAGTTTCGACAAATTAAAGTTGACAAATAGAATTTGTGACAAAATATCTAAAGAGCAACTACCTAACCAAAATTTTTTTATCTTATTTCTGAACTTTATAGAAAAATATTTAATTTGATCTATCTTTATCGCATATATGAATCTAAATGATATTTGTAAGATACGCTTGAAATTTTCGTGTCAAAGCATATTATTCGATTTGATCTAAGGCTTGTGCTTAAATTGATGTAATTTGGAGTTCTCATATGATTTGCTTATATGAACTTTCATAAGTTTCAATAATTGATATTATTCAATCCAATGAAGTAAAAGTTATACACTTTTAATTAAATCATAATAAAAATAACGAACACATGAAAAATTTTAAGTTGTTAAAATTCAGATCTTGTTCTCTAAATTTTTATTGTGAATAAGACGTTTCCTTGTAAGATTTGTAATACTTGAAGTAATGATGCGGAATTAAAATGGAATACTGAAGTAATAATACAGAATTAAAATAGAATACTGGAGTTTTTTAATTACTCATCATTGCACCTTATTGTTAGACTCTTTTATAAGCTCATATTTTAAATGTGCTTTCTCTGACATTCACTGTAATTTATAAATTTCTAATATATTATTTATCAATCATGCAAAATATCTTTTATGTCTTATAGTCCTATGCCTGTAATATTTCTGATTAAAAATTTTACTAATTATACCATAGTCATGGAAAATTTCACAAGTAGCAAGGTAATGGTGCAAAAATTTGACAGTTCCATGATTTTTGCCCAATTCAATTATAAGATCAATTTGTAATATATAAATTTAATATAAAAAAAGAGACTTGTTATTGCCACCCCAAAATTTAAAAAAGTGCTCCGGAAGAGATATTTTTATTAAGTAAATCCTTATTTTGATCTTAATAAAAGTTGTTCATCAGGCCTTTCCGGTTCTAATGGTAGTAA